ATGGGTGTATCAATTTTGAGTAAATTAGCGTCCTTAAATTTCGAAATATTGAAGTTTCAACCATTTCTGAAATTTGCCGTTATACAAAAAGCGTTTCAACGTTTTGCTTTTATGTGGCAAGCATAATAACCACATCGGATTTGTTAAAAATTCTTAGAACGGTTACCGAGATACATATAAGTGATCATAAGTGTGCGGTGCAACGCCCATTTTCCAAAATTTTATCATAAGCGTATTTCTTGGTAAAGAATTGTTTCAAGCATCAATTTTGAATAAATTAGCTTTAATATTTATTGATTTATCGAACATTTCGTATTTCTCTAAATTACCGTTATGTGGGATGTGGTTGTTATTCTCCGATTTTAAAAATTTTCGGCCCTTTGGTATGGCTGTACCAAGGCCAACGTAACCATAAGTGGGCGTGGCTACGCCCTCTTTCCAAAAATTTATAATATTCTTATTTTTCGTCTTAAAATTATTGTAAATATCAATTTTAAGTGAATAACCTTCAGTTTTCTTATTTCTGAAAATTACCGTTATATGAGAGGTATGCGTGGTTATTGTCCGATTTTGTCTATTTTTAATACCGTCCGTCTTACGCCCGAAAGAGGTGCACATACCAAGTTTCGTTAAGATATTTAAATTTTTACTGGAGTTATCGTGTGCACAGGCGGACAGACAGACGTACGGACCAACGGACGGACAAACAGTCACCGCTTAATCGATTTTTCTTTTCTTTCTGATCATTTATGTATACATTTGTCTATATCTATGTATCTCGCTTCGTTTTGCCTGTTACAAACAACCGTTATGTGAACCAAGTTATAATACCCTTGTGCACAAGTCTGCTCGGGTATAAAAACGGGAAAAATGTGTAGAATTGCATGGACAAAAAGGGAATAGGCTCGCCCAAAACCTGGCAACACTGCATACAAGGCATCTCGATGTCTTAGATACTCTTTTTAGCGAATTCTTAGCCTTAAAAAATTTTTGCACAGTTGAAAAAAGTAATTTAAGTCATGTGAAGATATGGATGAAGTTTTTAAATAGTGGTACGTTTCCACAGTTTGAAAAAGTATGCGATTTTGTATTTTCAATGCCTCAAACGAGCAACTGAGAGGCTCCTAAATATAAAGTTTGCTTCAAGGCGAATTTATACAAGGTGGTGTTACTGGCGAATTTAGATTACAACAACGACAACCATATGTATTTTGTATGGAGGGTGTTATGTCAAGTCTCAATTCGCTCCAAAGTTTACATGTATTTTTTTTTTGCTTTTGATGGGTGTGCTGTCAAATCAGTAAAAGCAAAAACAAAATACATGTAAGGCGAAGAAATCAGCTGATTTTACAACACCACCTTGTATAAATTCGCCTTGGTTTGCTTCCTGGCGCAAAGAGAGAAAATGAATTCTAATAAAAAATTTTGAAAGCAAGGCGAATTCAAATAAAGTAGTAGCGGTGGTACAAAAATAAAAACTAACTCGCTCTCGTTACATAAATGTCAAATTTCAGCTATTCTTCGCTCAAGGAGGAAGAAAATGCCAACACTCTACCTTTCGCACTCACTCATAAGGAGTTTTGACATACATATGTGTACCGAGGCGAATTAAAGCAGCTGTTCTTGCAACAACACCTTATATGAATTCGCCTTGTTTGAAAGTGAACTCCAAGTTAGAAGTAATTTTAAAATGAAATGCAAAGAATTCTTTGAGAATTTAAACACTGAAAGTGGAAATAATCTCATTATTGCTATTCAAAAATGTCATAAATATTAAATAATTTATAGGCTGCTGAGTAAAATAATGTTATAAGGATATTTATTAATTCATCCTAATCTGTACACTGATATTAAAATGAAAAACATTTTAATTTTTGTGAACTACATGCTGCTAGTGAAATTGTTGACAAATGCATAGAAAATTTTGACAATCGCAAAAATTGTTCATGTGTGTAATTTTTCGTTAAATAAAAGCTTAAATAGATGCTTTATTATAATATTAATTTCACTTCAATTTGTAATATTTTATTCTGCATAAATCTGTGGTTATAAAAAATTTACTGCTGTCAAGAATATCATTTCACACAGCAGATTGGCAAAACTGTCTCACCATAGTAAAAATATTATTGAACAGCTTTCCCCATAGAACTTTGTTACCGATTCACACACGCCCTTACATTAATAATTTTTCTTTGAATAAAAGTGTACTGAAAAGTACTGTCTTTTATAGCATGAAAAAGTTCAAGGTAGGGATGTTGCGATACTACTGATATAATCTTGGTGTCGATACTTTTGTTTCGATACTGGGTAAATCGGTATTCGATACTAGGGTGACGAGATTATTGATACCCATATGAGTATTTTCTTTCGATACCGCTTAATGTATCATAATAACATCAATATCAATGTTATCTTCATACAAGCCATATTTTTCCTAGAATTCTATATAAGTATATTTCCTGATTAGTGACTATGTTATCGTTCGCGCGATATTTTATTTCCTATCAGTGTTGCCAGGTCTTCGGCATGAGAAAACGTCCCTCTTGCTCTGAAAAAACGTCATTTCCTACCCAAAAACGTCTTTTTTTTAATAAATGTACAAAAATTTGTCGTATTAAACTTTTATTGCATACAAAGGTACATATGTACGTAAGGTATATTTAAATGTCATATCGACAGAGCACATTTAAAATTCATTATAAACTGGTTTGAGATCGTTAATATAAAAATCATTTTATAAATACACTTGTGATCAGCTGATTAAGTCATCAACATTTTAATCGATTTATATGACAAACAAAATATAAATCCACATTTCAAACTTTGTGCAAAAATTATAAAAAATCTGCAAATTTTCAGCTAGATTTTCAACTTTTTGTTCAGATTTTTAAAAATTTTTTTGAGTATGCAGTTTGATAGCACATCAAAATTTAAGGGCAATAATGTGCAAGTTAAAAGGGGCTAAATAATCGCGTTGATTTTTAATAATTTTTTTTTGCTTGTAGACATTTGGTTAGGGGCTCGGTTGTCGAAAATGGTAAACTACGCTCTGCTAAGAAGGAGCATAGCAATACTTCAGCCTGTTTTGCATTCATTACGTTTTCAATAAAGTCTTAAAAAAGTTGCCTACTTTTTCCTGACGTTTTATGCTGCACAGCTTTTTTGATGCTTTCGTGAGCGTGCGTGTTGCCATAGATCGGCTCTTTCTGATTTAGCTTTTAATGTGCTATTGCAAACATTACAACAAGCCTTATAACTTCAAGTGTTTACACAACCAGCCTTTGAACACGGGATCCTTAGTCCAAGAATCCAAAAAAATGCGCGTAGGCTTGGTTTGCATCATATTTAAGTCATATGTGTTCAAAAACTAAATATCTTTTGAAGCAGCTGCAGCAAAACACAAAGATTGTAAAGATTTATTAAGAAAATAATTCAAAATCAGTTCTACTTACAAGATTTAGTAACAAAGAAAAATTACTGGGAAGTTAAAAAACGTAATTTTTTACACAAAAAACGTCCAAACGTCAACAGGATTCAAAAAACGCCCAAATGACGTTAAAAACGTAAGCCTGGCAACGCTGTTTCCTATACCCATTTGATACTAGTATCGATACTTTTATGGCATCGTATTGAATTCAAACAGTATAAACACAGTACATACACAGCGTAACGACATTGATTTGTTTTTATTTCTGTTTATCTGCTTTTACGCCGCAAAGTAAAGTACGGAATCACATTACCAAGATTGGCAAAAGCTCGGTTAAGTGCAACGTGTTTGAAAAATCTGAAATTTGAAATACATGTGTACATATTGTGACGAAAGTTTAATGTATCGGATCGGTGTCGGGTACCGAAATGGATGTATTGGGTACCGAAGTTTGTTTTAAGTATTGGGTACCGACAATTCAGTACATCACTACCGAACGTTCGGTCAGGTTCTATTCCAAATGAGTTTTCTAGCTCATACGGAGCGGTTTTTTAGGTACGTACCGACATTTGCATTTTATTAGATGATAGCAAGCTTAAATTTTTTACAAATAATGATATTTGTATGCACAGTGTAATACAGAGAACGAGATATTAAGAACATTCTCATTTTTAGGTTCTAATTTGACAAATGGTTGTTTCCATTTTTATTGTTTAACAAGAATTATTCAAAAAAATGCATCCTTTTTGCGCCACAAATGTAACGTCACTCAAGCTGACGGAATTTATCTCCTGTCGGTACCCTGCAGCAAAATTTAAAGACAGTCTGGCAAAGCGCTAGTTCCGCCCTACAAATTTCACAACTGTCTCTGAACTACTGCAAAAGGAATGCAGAGCTGGACGGTTGAAACTCATATGCAGTGTTGCCACTTTGTGAGTAATTCCTCAAAACGTGAGGAATTTTGGGGGCGCTTGAGTATTTTTTGTGTATTTTTATTTTGAGGAGTTTTTGAGGAATTATCTCTCGATATATTTGCAGATAACAAATGCAACCATGTTTTACACAAGAGAGTTGTTAAATCGCTCCGAAAATTTTTGAACAAAAAGCTTTCCGAACTTTTGTAAAGAGCGAAATACACTACACAAGCGGCTGTCAATCATTCTTCCCAGTTCGCCATACACCATGCGAACATGACTCGTTCAAGCCAAGAATTTTAGTTTTCTTCCGGTTCACAATATAAATAAAAGAAAACCAATTCTTCGAGTTTTCTCTCTTGCGTCCTCATTCGGTAAAAATTCCGTTGCGAATGAGGCGATTTTATCATACACAACGTAAGCAAGAATGATAGAATACAAGATTGCGCCGATCAGATAGGATTTTCGAGCGTAATTTTTGAGTGACGTCACACTGGTGCAGCTGCGAGAGAGCAATGTCAAAACGCGAACAAGAATGCAAGAAGAAGAAGACATTTTGCACGAAAAACGTAAACAATACGAAAACAATTTATTCATAACACATTAAAATTTATAGATATTAAGCATATATATTAGCTTTAATTAAAGATGAAAACATTGTTGTGGTGTTGTGCATATAGTCTTTAGGGTAAGTATGAAAAATAATGTTGGGACAAATGTATGTGTTAACTAGTAATTTTTAGCAAAAAAAAAACCGACTTCAACTCCCATATAAAAAAAATATATATATATATATATCTCATGATCCGCTGATCGGATCTTAACCAGATTAGTATGGGACCACCTCTGAGACACTACCTTTCCGATGCAAAAATCGGTTGACGTGGTCCAAAGTTATGCGGTAACATACATAAAAAAAAATAAAATAAAAAAAAAATAAAAATATTCCGACGAACTGATAACCTCCTCCTTTTTTGGAAATCGGTTAAAAAATATTCCGACGAACTGATAACCTCCTCCTTTTTTGGAAGTCGGTTAAAAATGTTTGCCATTTCAGAATCAACGCTCCCACGAGTTAGTCGAAGATGAAATCTTTGAAAAGTATTATCAAAGGTATTCTAAATAATATGTGAATCAACACCACGCATTGGTTATGACTACCGCGACGTGGTTTTCAGCATGTCATCGCCAATGATTGCAGATTTAGCTTTTGAATTCATGCCAAATCAAACAACTTCCGACGCGTACCTTGATGAAGGTGAGCAATTAGTGCGTGAGTCAGAGCACTTGCTGCAGACAATTGGCAGCGAAGCAAATGCCGCACTGCGCCAAGCCAACTCTGAGCTGGTTGCGTGTCCTTCAGAATACTCAAGGTTGAGGACCTGTTTCAATGTGTAGAGGAGGCAAATTCGAGCAAGGAGTACTTGGATCATATGGGCAAATTAAAAAGTTTAATATACAGTGACGGAGGCACAGATGTAGATCGCGTTTTCCAAAAATGTGAATGCTACAATACAATAAAAGTAAAATATCACATACCTACATGCGAATATATTAAAACAGAAGTTGCAGCAGCGATTCGAGTTTCTGGTGCAATTCACTGAAAAGCCTTTCTCCCATTCCAAATATGATACGCTGCAGGTATCGAAGGATTATCGAAGGAAAAGATTATCATGGTCATACTCAAAGAATTTGGAAATTTTTGTGCATAAATACATGTAACATCTTGAAACAAGTGCCTTTTATATAACCTAAATATGATTTTTATTACAACCATTAAAAAATATTTGTATTCTCTTGCAGATATCTCCGATGCACACACAGTTGGTACAGCGCCGTTGAAATTATTGCGCCAGTGTTAGCGTCAATTAGATTTGTTGAAAAATGTTTGGCAGAATGTGCTACCCGATGCAATTTATAATAAGACATTTTGCGATATTATATATGATTTTTGTAATGAAATAATACGACGCATACTCGCAATGGAGGACATTTCGACAACAGTGGCAAGTGAGTTTAGTGAGCTAATCGGTGACATATTGGAGAAGGTCCCAAGTTATTCAAGGTAAATTTCTGATGGGATTCAATGCTTCGAATTATGTAAATGCTATTTTTTTACTTTCTTCTTACAGCACAAACATGAAGTGATAGACAGTGTTGCCGCCGCTCAAAGAACTTTCTAACCAAGATTAGACGAAAAAGTTACCAAATGTAAGGAAAAATAACCAACTATTTTATTGGATTAACAATTCAGGTCATCACAAATTCTTTTTTATAATGCGTATAGAAAATGTTTACAAACCAATGAAAATCAATTGTTATTTGCATTTTTAAAAGTAAATTATTTTAAGGCTGCCGGCTGGCATCAAGGGCAAGTTAAGCTGGTAGCGTGCGCCGATGAGCGTGCGGACCGGCTCTACAAAGAAGCTATCTCCACGGTTGGACAGCTGTGGCCCGGGGAAGACTTAGTTGCCGTCCATAGGGATGAAATCTCTAACTGGCCGCGAGCCTGGGCCTGGGTACCAGCTGAGCTGTCAAAACCGGAGGAGATACTCGAGTTCATCCGTATGGGCAACGAAGGACTGCCCACCAGCGATTGGAGGATAGTCCGAGTTGGCGAGACCAAGGGGAAGCAGCGTTTTGTTGGCTTTGTCATCAACGAGGCTTCTGTCCCAGTTCTCGAGGATTGTGGTGGGGTAATAAGCTACGGCTTTTACTCAATTACAGTAAAAATCCACCAGAGAACGGATCAGCAAGAATGGGAAATGGGCAACGCCTCGAGCAGACCCGCTCCCTCAGATATTCTTCCCGACGAAGGGGCCAACAAAACAGGCAACGCCTCGAGCGGACCTGCGGCCCCTGCGTCGGCATCGGTGGCAGGCAGCGCGGGGTACACAGGAAACACCACGAGTGAACCTGTGGACCCACCAACGAGTGTAGCCGAGACTGCGACAGATACTGAGAGCGACACGGGCTCAGTATCTGCCTACGTAGGGTCGGTCTACAGTCGATGGGCAACGCTGGACGAGGACTAGCCTACCAGGTGGTAACAGCTCCAGTAATAGGTAGGATCTGGGCTTGCATTCTAATTAAAAAAGTATATTCTCATTTGTTACTCTCTCAATACAGCGACGAGGACACTGTCTGCATCAGCGTACCGCTGAAGGAGAGCGTTATCTGGCTGGCATCAACCTACATGGCCCACGACAGCCATGCTTTTCCACCCTATAGACTGGAAGAAGCGGTGAAGGAAGCAAATCGCAGAAAGCTCCCGGTCATAATAGGGGACGACTCTAATTCACATAACACGATCTGGGGCTCAAGCGACACCAACTCCCGGGGTGAGTGTTTACTTGACTTTATTCTTTTATACAATCTTACTGTATGTAAGCGTGGGAACGATCCCACCTTTGTGACCTCTGTTAGAAGGGAAGTGCTGGACATCGCCCTTGTGTCGAGCGGTTTGTCCGATCGGAGAAGGGACTGGCAGGTGTCCAAGGAACACTCTTTTTCTGACCACCTCTACATTAGTTTAAATCTAAATTTTGATCCTGCTCCTTTAACAGCATACAGGAACAGAAAGCGAACCGCCTGGGCAAAGTATAGGAATACGTTTTCGGCCTCTCTACGCAGATACGCTTCTCACGATAAGTCCTGCTTATCGTTAAGACCTGATGAAGCGAGTCTCTCGAATACAAAGGGTGTTTCTCTCGGTGAGCTGGACTCATCGTCGAAAATTGATGAAGCAGTGAACTTTGTGACAAATGCCTGTAATGCTGCTTTCAAAGCCTCCTGGCCAAGATCCCTCCATACAAAGACGCACTCAAAGTATTCAAGAAGGCCATACAGAGGGCGAAACGCGAATCTTGGCAAAACTTCTGCAATAACATAGAAGAGAACTCTGAAACCAACAGGCTGAGGAAAGTTCTCTCGAAATCCTCTTCGAGTATGAACTCTATCCAGAAGCCTAACGGTGACTGGACGACGTCATGTAACGAAATGCTGGAGGTCATTATGAGCACTCACTTCCCGGGCTGCACGGACGACACCTCCGGCTTTTCGCCCGGTCCTAGGGCCTACTTGTCTCTGGGTGATACCGTTAGGGACGTCGTAAGTGAGGAGAGGGTGGAATGGGCTTTAATGTCCTTCCAGCCCTACAAATCTCCGGGACTTGACGGAATTTTTCCCGCTCAACTACAGGAAGCTAAGGACATACTGTGCCCCCTGCTTTCTCAGATTTTTACATCCTGCCTAACCCTGACTCACATACCGCATGAGTGGAAAAAGGCAAAAGCTGTATTCTTACCAAAAGGAGGCAAGGCCGCTGATGTGAATCCGAAGGATTTCAGGCCTATAAGCCTCACTTCATTCTTCCTTAAAACTCTAGAGAGGCTCATCGACGAATATATTCGACGGAATATAAAAAAATTACAACCTCTCCCCGAACCAGCATGCATATTCCAAAGGGAAATCCGTGGATACCGCACTCCATGAAATCGTATCGATGATTGAAAAAGGACTGGCCTTAAAGGAATACACGCTCGGAGTTTTTCTCGATATCGAGGGTGCTTTCAACAATGTCTACCCGAAGTCCCTTCTCATGGCGCGGGTGCAGCGGGGTCTGGTAGATGTTTTTGGGCTCCTTCTTGAGAAGAGACCTATTCTATCTATATTCCATCACAAAGTATGTGACCAGAGGCACCCCCCAAGGGGGCGTTCTCTCCCCTCTGCTCTAGAATCTAACAGTGAACACCCTACTTCTAAGCCTAAAGGGCACCGGTTGTCAAGTCATAGCGTACGCTGATGACATAGCAATCGTGGCAACGGGCAAACATCTTCAGGTCCTGAGTGAGTTATTGCAAAACGCACTCGGTCTGGTTAACATCTGGTCCAAGGAGTGTGGATTTAGCGTCAATCCTACCAAAACAGAAATGGTACTTTTCACAAGGAAGTATAAAACTCACTTATTTAAACCTCGGAGTGGCACTTAGTCTCTCAACCGAGGTCAAATACCTTCGAATTATTCTAGACAAAAAACTTGACAGGAAGCGAAACATTGAAGCCCGCTCCAGAAAGGCCAATACCGCCCTTTATGCCAGTAAGACGGCAATAGGCAAAAAATGGTCATTAAAACTCTACCGGATAATCTACGACAGATAGATTATACCACTCTTCTACTCTGCTTACGAGTCGCTTAAAACTTATTAACCTTCCTACACTTGCCAGTCGCAGGGAAATGCTTGGTATAATTTTTATGGTTAAATTACTGACAGGCTCAATTTCAAGACGGTCTATTCTGGCTGATGTAAGCTTTAATGTTCCCTCACGCGTATCAAGACACTTTTGTCCCATATTTCTGAAAGCTTGTAAAACCAATTTTGAATTGCACGACCCACTCCGTTGCTTATGCCAGGATTTTAACTCTCATTCCAGCACGTTTGATATATCAGATCCGCTTTTCAGCATTAAGAAAGCGATACTCTCCTCTCTCAATAAGTGAACTATTGACATAAATACATAAAATCAAACTCCTGCCTATCGGGACTCGGCACAAAAATTTAAAATATTGGTTCCGTACGTCATGCGGACTGCGCCCCTCGTGCGGATGGGCGGGAATGGAGGGTAAAAACCGGTGGGATATTATTATTAGACAACGAATTCTCCAAAAGGATCCCAGAGAGGAACAAATGGGAAGGGGCCACAGACCTGAACCCAGGGTCTGCGGCCATATATACAGATGGTTCCAAGCTAAACAAAAGAGTGGGTAGCGGGATCTACTCTGACGAACTCGCGCTAAACCTCAGTTTTCGCTTACCGGACCATTGTAGTGTTTTTCAAGCAGACTTAAACGCCATAATGGAGGCGGCACGGTGGGTTATAACCTCCGCCCCTCCAGGACGGCCTATTGCTATCTATTCTGACAGCCAGGCTGCTATCAAATCTCTCAATTCTAACGGAACAACGTCCAAAGTAGCCATAGAATGCAGGAAGATTCTCAACCTGCTGGCATCAAAATGCTCCTTGACTGTTGTATGGGTCCCTGGACATAGGGACATTCCTGGCAACTGCCTAGGCGACGAGCTGGCAAGGAGAGGGACGGAAATATCTGAAGTCAATTCTGCTCAGAATGCGGGTATACCTCTAACCTCCTGAAAACACGTACTAAAGGCGGAAGTCGTCGAGGAGGTAAACCGGGGGGTTATCACCGGACACTGCTTGATGGGCACACACGGAAAAAGGCTAGGATACCCCACCAATGATTTTTGTCGCAGTTGCAG